GGACATGTACGAGGACAGCAGGACATGCATGAGGACAGCAGGACATGCATGAGGACAGCAGGACAGTGGTGAGATGTGCTGTAGGAGTGACAGACAGCTTCCAGGTGGACAACAGTCTCCTCTGCAGTATCAGCAGCTCCATCCAGTGACAAAGAGCGAAGGAACAGATCGAAGTCATTCACCGTGGAAACGACACGATAACTCCTCACTCTCAGTATCGTGTGTTGCCGTTTGAGCCACAGGTTTTATACTCCAACATCATCAACTTACACAAGACTCTTAGCAACATTTACTGTATTTTCTGGCGTATAAGTCAGTTTTTACAGAACTTGCATGCCCTGCGACTTACACACCGAAGTGACTTATTTATGTTTTTTCACATATTTATAAACCACATTTTGGCTAAGAGATGACGTCCTCATTCATTCTGACAATATTGAACACTACCGTTTTCAGCCACTAGATGGCAGCAGGTTGTATGGCATGCCGTTGAGTCATGTAATAGGTAAAAAAAAAAAAAGATTATAAACAAAACAACTGGACTTTATTTGTAACTGAAGACGTTTTGCCTAAAAGTTACAAATAAAGTCCAGTTGTTTTGTTTTTAACCTTTATTTTGGGTTTACCATGTCCTGGATGACAGAATCTTCACCAGCCTCGTGTAATAGAGACAACCCTTTGTTAAATTTTCGTTTAAACACCGTTTTATTTTCACTTATTCTCAATTTGTACGCATCTTTTATAATTGTCTGTTGTTGTCCACTGTTGTCATCACTCTTTGTTTAAATCAGGTCTCCCTTGTAAATGAGTCCCTGAGGCTCAATGACACTAACCTGTAGAAGTAAAGGTTAATGAAAAATTACTGACACAGTCAGCTTGCCGTAGCCTGCCAGCTTCGTCCAGTTCACCTGGAGCAACCGTTACATCAGCTTCATTTCTCTGCACCGCCCCGCTGACATGCAGCAAATATGACCTTCAAAGTGCATTTATTAAGTGAAAGTTCAACTGAGACACACATTTATTATAATGTCGAGCAAACAAATAATTGTTTTTAAGTGTTAATCTTGTTAAATTCTTGTTAAAGTCCTCCCGTACACGCTCCTACGGCCACCATTTGGCAGCCGATCGTTTTTTAGCACAACACCGGCCCACATTTCCAGGTTGTCAGCGGTGACGCATAATAGCTGAGACGTATTTATTTATTGTTTCCACTTTATTAGACATTTTTGAACTGATGCAACTTACAGGGCGGTGTGACGGTAAATGAGTATTTTTCTCTGTAAACCTCTGGACTTCTTGTTTGTCATGATGAGAAGTCTTTAAGCTCAGAGGTGGACACGTCTCCTGCACTGAAGCAACAGTCCAAAACTTCACATGGCATTACTGAACCATGACAAACCAGACCTCGTGTTTTTACCACTTCCTACAAAAAATATACTCGTTTTAGTCCAAAAATCAGGATCTCCACTTGTACCTGCCCATCCTGGGACCTCACAGTTCTGACGTTTACTGGGTCAAAGTGTTCGTCTCAATGCCTCAGCCTTTCTCTAAAACCAAGTGACGCTTTAAAACTAAACGTGTCCGTCACCAAACCAAAGAGCTCCAAGTTACAAGCTTCAGCTGCTGCACGTTCAGCCGAGGCACGTCGTCACAAGC